TCCTTGTATTATTTAATGTAGCATGAAAAAACATGATATAACTAAATATTTATTCACACTCTTCATAAGAAAGGGTCGAGAATTAAAAAAAAAAATTACTTATCATTTTTTTAATAAAAGACAATAACCATTTTTGGTATGTAAAATGTGATTGGAAATGTCTAACAGTCTAGATCTACGTTGTAAGCTTTTACCTGTTTGAAATTAAAATAAAATAAAATAAAGACAAAAAATCTCATCCAGCAAGTAATTCTTCAAGTCCTCGAGTGGAGGCGTCGGTGGGTTGACTGGTTTATGGACCTGGAGATCACCGCCCTATTACAAGTGGCGGTGCCAATGGTGAGCTGGTCACCGCATTCGCTTATTTTATCCTCTTTAACACTCGCGCTTCCGCGAGAACTCCTTGATGCAAGTGAACACGTTTCATAACTGAGTGTGTGTGTGTATTTCTTATATTTTTACAAATTTATCATGTTTTGTTATTGGATTCCCCTCCCCCCCTCCCTTCAAGTCCCTGTATCTCTTGTCCGCAGTGTTGATACTTTTATTTTTAAACATGTTCGAAGAGATTATGACATGGCATTAATAGCGCCATAAATAGTCTGACTTATAATTAACTGTCTTAAATCTTGTGTTAAATATTAAAGGAAGAAAGAAAGAGACATGACATGTATAAAATGCTACTTTCATCTCAAATTATAAGATATTTATAGACAAAATCTTACATACCAATCAACCTCATTAAGTATGCTTAACAACCTTATCTTTTCAAAATAAAAATATAAACTTTTAAAAATATTCATCATCTAATATATTAAAAAGAGAAGGAACAAAAATTAATTATAAAGAGAGAAAGGATAATATTAAAATTTGAGCATTTTATGAAACCTTAATCTACCCAAAATATTTTATATTTTTGAACGAATAAACTACTTTAAAAGTCCTATAATTTAGGACGGAGGGAGTATCAAGGAAGAGAGACCGACTAGAGAAAACAGAGAATATGCCCAACACTATAGATAGGTGTGTTTGTATTTTAATTAGATATAATTGACTGTAAAAAAATTAACTAATGTGATTAATTACGTTACAATATTGACTTTGTTTAAATATTATTTTTTGAAATTGATTGTGATAAGATTAAAAATGTTTAGATGATTTAGATAAAATTAATTTTAAATATACAAATTATCATAAAGAATATTGCTCATAAAAATGTAAATATTAATAAAGTAGTGTATAATATTATTAAATTTTTTGAACTCTTTTTGACAAATGAAATATATTATTTAATATGTATAGGAATTTAAATTATATAAATTTGTTCATACTATGGCGCCGATCAAGTGTCCAGGGGATCATAAATGTTGGCTATGTTTGGTTAAAATCAATTAATTTAAATTATATACCTGACACGTGGTTTAAGGACATGTTGGTATATTTGGGCAGCTAGAAATTTCTCTCAAATAAAAAATGCTGCAACGGGAAAATTGAATTGGAGAAGCCACTCTTTCCAGTTCATACTTCAATTAATTGGTTATGGCCATTTGGAGGTGTTTGGGCATTTTTAACCCAAACTATGGTTTGAGTTTCAATAATTGATTATACACGCAAATCCAAATAGGCATGTAATGACGAAATGAATCTAAAATCAACGTTAACAATAATAACAATCAAACACTTCAAGATCAAAGACAATAGAATAGAGTTTGCTGGTGTTGTGAAGGAACCCGAAAATGACAATTTGTTTGACGTAAAGTGAAATAAGGTTGATGATATGATATATAATTCAATATTGTTAGTGCTGCATTGTCGTCCTACTAAGACATTGAAAAAATAAAGGGATTAACATTATACATAGAAAAGATTGTATGGACTTGGAGTAAAAAAAAAAAAGCTACGATGACTAATAACAAAGCACGGTAAAAATATAGACTAATAGTCATGTTTTTCCCTCATTTTTCATTTTTCTTTTATTTTGGCACCTCATTCAATATCGCAACATTTACTAATAGGGGGCAAATTGAAAATGTGATATGAAATTTTATTTTATCAGAACGTGTCATTAGAAACAAGTCGTAGCTGATACTCGTGGAAATTTAAAACAGTACAAATTATTTATATCATTAAAATTAAATGTCTTAAAGCCACTTTAATTATCATTTTCACTCCTGGTAAATATAATAAATTTAAAAACAAGTATTCTTTATCTTCTCGTTCAAAATTGCGAAGAAGAACAAATTTAAAATAAAACAATTATTATTACCCAAGCTTTTATGAAGTGACTTATATTTAATATCACAAAATTTTTTCTACAGATGATTTATGTATAAAACTTGAGGAACTGTAGCAGTAGTATCTAAGATTTTTTTTAGTGATGTGTACATGCTCCTTTTTAATCCTTCTGTTATCTTTAAATGGTATCGTGCCTCAGTTAAATTATTTTTGCCCGGTTACAGCAGAAACTGAGCATTCACTTCGAGACTGCAAGATTCATACTTCCTTTATTTAAAAATATAAAATATTTTTTAAAGAGTTAAACGTTTAAAAATGTAAAATATTTTTAATCTTTTAAAATGTAATTATTATTTTTTTTAAATATCTCTATTGACAGTGATTTTATATTTATTATTGAGTGTTTAATAGAAATAAATATAAAAATATAGGATTAATTTAAAAGTAAATAATTACTTTATTAAAAAGTAAGATTCGATTAAAAATATTTTATATTTTTAAATAAAGGGAGTAATATTTTAAAACTCTCCTGGAGACGACCATGAAGCATGTCTAGCATGAGTTTTCCCCCCTTTTTAAATGACATATTTCAAACAAATAAGTGAAAATTCCATACACCTGGGATTAAATTAAATTTCTATTCCATAAGTCGTGCGTCAGAGTTCAGTTTGGAATCAATTCCCACAATTCTTGCGCATAACCTTTGATATTCAGATGAGAATCAGAACACGGTTATTTTCGCTGTTGTTTATTTAATATTTATATTACAATTATGTCCGTCCCCTTTCTTCGCAGTCAGAAATTCTGATTCACAAACTTTGACCTAACCTTTAAAACCAAAATTAATCACCCAACTTGCTTCTATAGTTAAGACTGGAATGATGAATTTTTATGGTCCTCTCTCCATCACACAGCATCAATTGCTGACGTGCACAGCCACGGCCTGCCTGCGTTGAGCATCCGGTACCGTTGTGACAAACAAATATTTTCAACTGCCATAAAATCCTCCAATCCAATGTGTCTTGCTTGCGTGACCATTACTTATATCTACCTCCTTCTTATAATCACATTGTCAGATCATCGTTTTATTTCATACTTTTTATCCACTTCTTGACTACACATAAAAATATATATTTAAAATATTCAACAACATGACTCAATATTATTTTAGGTCTCCATTTCAAAAACAAGACGGCGTTCCATTTCACACATACCCCATATATATATATACACAGGGAGAGAAAATTACAATCTAATCCTAAATAAAGAGAGTAATTATTTTTTTAATTTATTTACAAGTCAAACTTTAATATTTATACGTGGCTGGGACTTCTAGGTAATTATTATATATGTATGTATGTATGTATGTATGTATAGTGAGTTGGTGAAGATGGTGGCCGGAAGGGGAAAAAATAGAGGAGTGAGTAGGTGAAGATTGCAAGTATAGTGACTTGAAGCCATCGCCCATCGCCAGGGCACATTGACTAAAACCTGCTTTTCGGGGTTGGTGATGGGTCGGTGTAATCCAACATACCAACCATTGATGCTGACGCTTTACTATTTCAACCATTTGGTCTCATTGCAAGTTAACTAACGACCCGCCACCATCCGCCATTGGAGCTTGATTTCCAAGTGTCTGGGTTCCTTACAAGCAAACAATAAAATGCATCTATTGTTGTCTTTTGGGTTCTACGCATGAAAGGCCGTTAAGCCCACAAATGGAGAGCCCATGCCCAACAAGGATTCAATAATATTAGTTTAATACAAAAGCCACCACCATGTTCCCCATGTGACAATTACATTGGCCTTTCCATTCATTACTAAATCATTACTAAACATCTTTTGCCAACAAACAATTACTAAACATCTATCTATATATATGATGTATTACTCTCTAATAAACATCTTAAAACATTGCTAGTTTGTTACTACTATACAACCCTAAGGAAATTCAATTCCACGAGGTTTTGTCATTAGCATGAGAGTAGTGGAATAAGTGACCACATCCATATGCTTATACTGCTCTTCTTTTAATTAATCTTTGTTTAAAATATAATTAATTTAGTATTCACAATTTTTTTCCTCATTTTATTCCTTTATTTGTTAACCTAAATTATTTGATCTGTGAATTTATGAACTTCTTCTTATTATCATTAATTAGAATAAGGAAAAAAAAAAGAAAACAATGTATATTTTGATAAAAATAATAGCTTTATTAATATGTGAATTACTGTAAAAAAAATATTCATATTTTAGAGTGGGTTTTTTTTTTTTTTTTACTACTTTCATGTTTTGGAACCATGCTTGTTGCTGTGGTGCTGGTTAAAACTGTTTACTTGAGGGGGAGAACCAGATGCGTTTCCAAATTAGTACCTTTTCAGTAATATATATGGGCAATGTATCACCTGCGCGCATCCACATGTCAAGTTTTTCAAGATACTTAATTCCGTCTTTCAAGATACTATTTGCAACTTTTATTTTCTTTATCTTTTTTGAGAATTTTGAGGCAGCTCCTGTGACAAGCAATACATTTGAGACTCTTGCAAAACGACACTCGAAACGGGAAAAAAAAAAAAAATAGGGTGTTCAGTTTTTCCCCCTTGAAAAGGAATTTGAAGGGGTTTCATCGACCAGAATTCAGAACAGTAGATGACGCGCTTGTCTAGACTTCAATTTATATTTAGCAAAATTCTATTTGGAAGTGTTTGAACGTAATTTTGAGAGTAAAGGCCAAAAGTTTTCATGTTAAGAACTGGCTCATCATCTACATGCAATTCGCCTTCTTGAATCTCAGTGAACATTGTCAATGAACTTGAAACAACTTTTTATGTATTGTAAGCAGCGTAGAAAGAACATGTATCATGAATCTACAATACCATCCACAAGCTATGATTCCAAAATCAACCACGAAACGGGGAATCCAAAAAATGTGAGAGAGAACCAGCCATACTGATACTGGCCACTACATCACAGCTAGAGCCGCCGAGCGATCGAAGCTACCCCGAAGCCCTCTGTTTCTGATGATCTTCTTCTTCTCCCCACCGTCCATTTGTTTCCCAAACGGAATATTCGCCGGCGGTGCTGGAATCTGACAGTTGTTCTCCCTACTAGCCCCGCCGCTGACGAGTATCCTCGTGATCCCCACATAGTGCAGCGACTCTGCTATTTGCAACGCGGTCACGCCCTTATTGGTCCTCGCTTCCACATCTCCTCCCTTCTTCACCAGCAGCTCCGTCACATCGGCATGACCCGACTCCGCGGCGCAATGCAACGCCGTGTACCCATCCTCGTCTTTAGCATCCACATCCACCCCTTTCTCTAGCAGAGCCCGAACCGCATCAGTTCCCCCTTTGAAGGCGGCTCTGTGAAGCGCGGTCCAGCCGTGCTGGTCCCTTCCATTAATGGACGCTCCGTTCTCGATCAGCCTCTGTATAGTCCTCACCTCCCCTTTTCTAGCCGCCACGCAGAGTTCGTCTCCCAATTTAAGCGCGTCGAAGAGGCGGTTATATCCATTCTCGGCGGCGACGTCGTATGCGGTTTTCCCCAACCCATTTCTCACATCCTTATTCGCACCCTTTTGCAGCAATAGCTTCACCATGTTCTCGTCGCCCGTGAATGCGGCTATGTGCAAAGGCGTGTCGCCTTCTCTGGTGTTGCGAACGTCGGTTCTGGCACCGTTAGCCAACAGAAGTCTAGCGCAATCTCGTCTTCGTTCTTCAACTGCGAGGTGCAAGGCCGTGCTACCATCTTTTGCTTGAGAATCTACTTTAGCCCCTTTCAGTAAAAGAAGCCTTAGGACCTCCAAGTGTCCTCCTTTAGCTGCGTGATGAAGTGGCCCCCAAACGGATGATTCTGATCGTTCTGTGTTGGCCTTGTGGGCTAATAGAAGCTCAACAATTAAGGATTCTCCGGAGGAAGATGCAGCCTCAAGTGGGGTTGAACCAGCACGATTTGGAGCTTCGATATCGGGCTTGAATTCGAGGAGTAATTGAACAAGGTCCGGTCTGCTCCGTGAAATGGCCAAGTGAAGCAACGTCTGACCTTGCGAGTCCATTGAGTTCTCAGCCTTCCATGACGGGTTACTTCGTTCCAGCGCCTCTCTGATGTCATCCATGGAACCATCTGCAACGAGTTGAGCTAAGATCGGCGAACCCACAAACATGATCTTGATGCCACTGTCTATGAAGACCTGCTTCTTCTTAGTGGTGAACCAGTCGCTCGGAACAGAATCAAACATAGAGGATGGCTCTTTAATTGCCGCACCAGGAACAACCACACTGTGCAGAAGGAAAGAATCATCGGAATGAGGATACGAGTGAGGGAGACTAGCTCCTGGTGGGAGGTGATAGATGATCTCCACCGTGAGTGTGGCCAAAGGAGATATAATTCCAGACTGAGGCTTCACTGTGTAACGAGTCTTGATCAGTGGCTGAAGCCTGAAGGCCACTGGCATGGTGTACATCACGTTGCGTAACGTGATATGGCCAACGCATTTCTGCCCCGCTTCGACCCTGACGGGAACGATGTTTGATGGATCTAATCTTATGAGTCTGTCCATATCTCTGATCAATTCTGCGCTTCAGAGTCAGCTCTTCGATTATGGTTCGGAAGCAAAAGCCATGAAATGGCTAAGTTAAGTTGTAGGAAGAGAATACTGAGAAGGACAATGCTTGGACGGAAAAATTTTTAACGAAGCGAGAGGTGCCGGCTGTACGTAAGAGCGTGCCAAGTGGTGGTGTAAAAAACTATGTGACTTGTTCTATTCAGCGTCTGAACTGTATTACTCCAAAAATACAGTTTAGTTTAAAGGTTCAGAACCCAATCTTGGTGTCACCAGTAGCTACACATCACTTTCACTGTTGTCTAAAGGTTTATAATATTTTACCCCTAAAACGCCAAACTTGCTGTTCGATGCTCGTTTGACTTTTAATGGAACATTGTTTTCGATCATAGTATAATATAGGCTAATGGGGCCATTCCCATGTATAAAAAATCTATGTGCAGCTAAGATGCTCTTTTCTATTTGTGTCTTCATAGCTTGAGTGTGAAATAGCACAAAAATGTACGGGTTTGGCCATTTGGGAAAACATTCTGTTAGGAGCAACACGAAACATTATCATTTTATATAAGCATATACCAAGTCTGAGTGAGCAATGCAGAAAGGCTTGCCGGTACATTCTTTTACCAGGCCAACTATAGTGACAGTATATGGTAATAAGATTATTTTGAAGTTGCTTTTGTCTGTTACTTTGTAAGGGTTAGACTTAGACCGACCAGCCAGAAAATCAAAATTTCACTTTGGCATTTGGCACTGCTCTGCACATTCCTTCACTTGTAAACTCTGATCGGTTCAATTGCCTTCTATGCAGGTTCTTCAAAAGTATACAGGGGATTTCATTGTGCGTGTCTTAGTCACCCACCAATAACGTTATTCTTCGTCCCTGTGTGATTAACTGCACATACCAGAGATGTTGTATATCAAAGATCGGTATAGACAATAATAATTCAATTGTAATAAAGATACAAAACAAAAAAATAGCTCATCCTAAAAGATTAATATGTTAAGTAAAAAGTTCTTTAAACTTATAAATTTTATAAATCTTATTTATCTCGTGAGCTTTGTTAATGTGAAGCATATAATAACATTCCAGAACTTAGGAGTCACCACTATTGTTTTTGTTAGTTCTAATGGAAATTGATTGAAGTAGGTGGTTATAATTAAAATTCTCCTGAAAAGATATCACAAATGTTTAGTTCCATTTATTTTAGTTTTTAACTTCTACTTGCAAGCACTGAGGAGTTAAACTACAGAGTATAGCAAAAAAGTTGTGGTACAATGTGAGGGATTCGATTTGTCTTAAATGGAGAACAAGAGGTTATCGGTTGATGGAAATTGTCTGAAGTGACTTTGAAAAGCAACTCTTTGGCAGAGTGATAGAACGTCTGCTCGCGATGCTGAGAAACACGAGGATCCCTTAAAAATTCCATTTCAATCCTGTGGCATGGGACGAGACACCCAACGAATTTCTTGCCTGTTCTTCAAATCCAATCCACCAATTTAATATGTATAGCTATTATTGTCATATAGTACATAGAATATAATATACTTTTACATTAACAACACGATAGAAAGAAGGGTCATACTTCACGTTTCAAATGGGAGATCGAGATGCACAAGAACTCTGTAAAGTTGAAAAATCTATGTTGATTGCTGTTCTATGACATGATTTGGGTTTTGCAAGCTTAGAATATTATACGCGCACGCTTAACTCTGTCCACATTTATTGTTAAAAGGTCTCTATAATGCATTGTAATCTGAAATACAACTGCATATTTAATTGAAACATAAATTCAGAGAACCATTATCTTAAATTTTGGAGGCAATATTAATATTCTGTTAAGAATTATTGAAGGTATTGATCCCAACTCCGCTAGCAAGAGGCAAGCATGGAACTCCCCTTTCATCTTTCGGAAAGGGTTGAGACAGATCAAACCCCTCAAGAGTCGCAAGTCATATTTGCACTCTTGAAATGCCCAGAAGTTGATGGCATTCCACTCGACAACTGAATATTTATCAATGAATGAAGTCAACGGAGCAAAAATTTGTGCAGGTTTCCATGGCGTATCAATTAAAAGCGTATGGTATGTGAAGGTGTTACCAATGAATTACCGTTCCACAAATCGTCTTCATTATATTTCTAGGTACGTTATGTTTACCATTTACCAACAGAGTCACACTCTGTTTCTATGTGCAATGTCCTTTTCATATTGTTGTGAGGCCAATAATACTATGCAGTAGTTTTTATTTTGGCCAATTATGTCATTTGTCTTTGCATACTTTACCGAGCAAGATCATAGTTCAACGGGCAAAATGAGAAAACTATTGTTTCTTGTTGAGGAGTCGAATAAGAATATTTTGAGGTCATTGTATGCTCCCTCTCCCAGACGAGGACAAATAAATCGCTTTCAACCAAACCCAAATGGAAAGCAACAATAATTAATGCAATAAAATAGAACGAAATATTTCATTATTTAAAATTTTTATTAAAAAGTAAATGATTTTATTTAATCATTATTTAAAAATAATTATAAAATTAACAGATTTGAACTAAATATAATTATATTTTTCAATTTTACATTAAATTGGGGTGAAAGAATGAGGGAGGATGAAAAGGATGAGAATAATTTTATAATAATATTATTTATATCATTTCATTTTGTCATTGGCTCTCAATGAATTTAATATGGTAAAAGATAATTTAAAAGACCACCCCAAATCATTTTACTCTTTTTTTTAAAAAAATTCTTTCAAATAATGTATTAAACTTGTAACCATCCGATTTCATTTAAAAAAAAAAACTCCAAATATTACCTAAACCCCAGTTTGCCTTAATTTTATTACAATGTTAGGATTTATTTGAAAATTTAATTCATTTAAAAATCAATTATAATTTTTTTTTTACTAAATTTCAGAGAAAAAATAAAAAAGAGGAATTAATGACTTGATATGATCGGAAAGGAGTTCAACCAAGTCCTAATTACAAATCCATGAATATTCTCATTACAAATTGAACTTGGTGGGTTCTATTTATTACAATTAAGAACGGTCGCATCCTCTCAGCAAACTTGAACACGGAAGTGGTAAGAGGAGCAAATCTGGGATCCATCATATTCAGGAAGTTGGAAGTGATCGAGATTAATCACTAACAGTATATACATGAATACAAAAAAAAGCATATAATTTTGCAACAACAAGACAAGAGTAATCAAAGATCAAGGCCAGACAAAATCAACACAGACCCTGGACTCCAAAGGATTTCGATCCATGACGACCTCCTCAGTGGCGTGGTTCTGGTTTTTGAAGGATTGGACGGAAGCAGACGACCCAGTCGAAGCAGACGGAGGAGGAGATGTTGAGGAACAGCGAGGAGAGGAAAAATAGGAAGCTATGAGAGCTGCGGAATCCCACTCGCGATTCCCAACAAGTTCCGAGAATAGCAGTATCAGTGAAGCCATACAAATTCTAGCATCCAGATTATGTTGAAATAAGATTCCGTTGGGGAAGCTCATGAAAACGGATTGACATTTTTATAGAAGAAACACAGATAAATGGAGTGAAAAAGTGAAAGGATTGGGATGATGACTCGTGATGAAGAAAAAGAAGAAGCCGCTGATTTGAAAGAGTTTCTGGCAGCTGTGGCCTGTTGTTCTGCTTTCAGGAAACAGGGGAAAGAAGTGGATTCTGATAAGGCAAGATTTTAATATTCCAATAAAATCATGTTTGGTTTGGCCAAGAAAATAAAATAAAATCATGTTTGGGAGAAATACCCGTACTTCAATCCAACCGTGCTTTTCTCGTCAAAGAGGCAGCATCTAAACTGGGGGCCATGTGGGCTTTTCCGCTGGTTTAGCTATTGGCGTTTTTGCTGCTGCCATGAGCTTTGATTTATGCAGAGTCCATTGGGAGGGTGGAAACAAACCGCCCTCATTTTCAAATAAATCCCTGGCTTTTAAAGTGTAAGCAAAATTTAATTAATTAATATAATTTAAGAAAATTAATTAATTAAATATTGAAATTAAAAAATTGAACTAAAATAACCCTGTGATGAATCATTATTTTTTCCCCTAATTTAAGGACAACTAAAACAAGATGTCATTAATGCTACTAAAAAAAAATATTGTTCTGCTTATTAAAAAAACCATATAAAAGTTTTACTTATATTTAAAAATAAAAGGAGCAGTCTTTTGACTTTTGAAGGTATGAACTATGAAGGCGGAGAAACATGAGAGAAACCGAAAACCAACCGTATCTTCCACCTTCCGCATCCACCTAAGCTATAACCTATAAATAATGTGGATATTTTAGTTTTGTCACCCTATTCAATTCCTTTTAATGTTTTCAAACCACCCCTTGTAAACTATTAAGTACAATATTTTTAGTCTTATTAAAAAATAATATTAGAAAGATCATGAAATACTTAATACATGACATACTTTTAAAACCTTCAGGGGTAAAATCAATTTCCCTCCTTTATTTGTGAGGAAATTACAGAGGTGGGCCTTCTGTTTTGGGTCTAAGCAGCGATGTGAAGTGTAAATTGCAAATGCTAATAAACCGAAGACAACTGTAAACACTAAGGTGGCATAGTGAGGCTCAAACCCAAGCCCGGAGGTCTCTGTTAATCAAGACGTAGTTGGGCCCAATGTTTTGTACAATTGCACACTGGGCCCTTCTTCAGTCACCAAAATAAAAAATTTCCAATCAAACCATAGTCCACATGCTTTCACAAACTGCTCCAGCTTCCATACAATACGTTTTTGAAAAAATTAATTATTTAATTCTTATAATTTTAAATCAGCTGTAACCCAGTCTCTGAATTTTAACTCATTATAATTTAGTCTTTAAAATTTTAACTCAGCTGTAAATTAGTCCCTGAAGTTTTAACCTTTTAAATATTGGTTTCTATATTTTAAAAAATAAAATTATAAAAATTAAAAATATTTTAAAATTTATTACTAGTATTTTAAATTACTAAAATTTTTCAATATTTATAAATATTAAAATTTTAAAATATTTTTAATTTTATTTTTTAAAATATAAGGATCAATATTTAAGATATTGAAACTTCGGCAATTAAATTATAAGAGGAAAAATTTAGAGGCTAATTTATAATCGAATCAAAATTTCAAAGACTAAGTTATAAAGAATTAAAGTTTAAGGATTGAGTTACAATTGGATCAAAACTATAGGGATTAAATGATCAATTTTCCCATTTTTTTTTTCAGGCAACGACGTTGTGTTTTATTTGCGTCCGATTATAGTTTATTGATGTATTTTTAAGGGAAATTAGTGATGAAGGACATGCCAGAGTAAATTTATATTAATAAAAAATTAGTTATTGTCAAAATTTGAATGAAAAAAACTTGAATAAACTGTTATTAATTTAGAATGAGATGTTAAAACTTGAATGAATTTTTATTGATAAAACACTATCCAAATTAAAAAGTATTCATTTAAATTTTAATAAGCAAACTTGATTGATATAAATTTTCTCTAGCATCCTCCTTGATAATTTTTCCTTATTTTTCTAATGGCGCCACTGACATATTTGGTTGCAACATGAAAAAAAAAGAAGCACCCAGCACAGGGCCGCTTGCTCAGGTCCAGACAAAATCATCTTCCCGTTCCGAACAAAAATTTGAATGATATATCATTATGTGCGTTTAAAATTTTATTTTCACTGGGCATGAAAAATAACAAAGAAAACCGATCGCCCCATCGACTATACTGTGTTTCCCGTTTTCTGATGCCTGGAATTCCATTGCACCCGGTCACTGATGTTATGACCTTGGCACTTTTCTGTCCTTAAATCACGTCGGCTTTAGCGTGATTAATCTTTTAATTCTAACTAAATCAGCTGAATCTTCAGAATGTAAGAAAAGAAATTAAGAAACTTAAATACAAGAGGGAAGAGAGTTTAGATGAGAAAACTTGAAACTTTGCTTGCTTTTGTTGTTTCTTACAAATGAGGCATGAGGAGGTATTTATATACTTCATCTTTATTTAAAGTTTTCTCACTTCTTTAATGAACAATAGAGATCAATTTAATTTTATATTTTACATTCATTATCTAGAGTGTTTTATAAAAATATTTACAATAAATATCTAAATATTTATAAGAGTATTTTTAAAGACAAACTTTTAAAATATGTAAAATATTCTAGAACATCTTAAAATATCTTAAAATATTTTAGATATATTCATGTTCTTTTTTCATAAGTTTCTAGAATATTCTATAAATTTTTAGATCTTTCTAGACTTCTTTAAATAATTCTAAATTGTTTTAGATACTTTTAAAACATTCTAAAATATACTGGATCTTTCTTGGATATTCTAGAATTCTCTCACGAAAATCTTTACATTGTCTTGGACATCTTTAAAAGCATTTAAAAATACTGTAACCTCATGGTTTCTTTTCTTTTTAAATAGAGGTTATGACACTGAGCTCCAGAGTTAAGAATCTCCGGGCTCCGGCTATACGCTGGCGGCAGAATATTAAGCCACAATTTGCTTTACAGTTTACACCCTGCGAATAACACGACGTCGGTTCTAGTTTTATGTCATAGATTCGTAGTATGAATGATCCTTGTCGTTTTTCTGGAAGTTATTCACGTTTTGGTTCATATTCCAGAACTGGCTTGGTGCATGTTCCTCCTTACCGTTTGCAACCTTGCAATTACCCAATTACCCAATTAAACGGCATGACCAACCACAACCAGTGTTGAGCAGAATGCTAGGTGGATCATGAATTCTCTGTCGGAACATTTTTAAAATATTTATACATTGTGAATTTGTATTGATTAATTATTTATCCCATAACAAATTGACACTTCATAATTTTACCTGGGTTGTGTGATAAGTGAATCATAATTTTACGTGGGTTGTGATAAGTGAATCTTAAAAGTGAACCCATTTGAACAAATGCCTAACCTTGCTGGTAAAAAAAAAAAAAAAAAACAAATGCTTAACCTACAACCCCTTAATTATCAATTATTTTCTTTATCTTGTTGGGTCAAGATGATTTGAAAAAGTTCAAATTAATTAATTAATCAGTCACACACACACAAAAACGTAGATGACCTTAATTTTAACAACTACACATCTTACGTCTTCCACACTCTTCCATATTTTCTCTGTAATTTTCGAAAGCTAAGGGAATTAGTAGCTTGGAAACCTACCGACCTCCTCAAGAGACTGTTTATTTCTCTACAGCAATGGAATCTACAAGAACGTTTATTAAAATGCTAATTATTTAATTTAATTAATTGAGATACTTTCGATATTCTCAAGGTCAGGAAAACAAAAAAGAAGTCCATGTGTGCGGTTAGACAGTAGGGATTCAAAATTAACAGTTTGATGGCCGAGCCAAGATTTAAGAGTAAGAACTGAGATTTAAAACATACATATATATATATATATATGTACACTTCGCTTTCATAAATCTTGGGAAGCCACAAGTACACAACATTTATATGAAACTAAAAAAAAATTAAAAAATTTGGGAGCCCTGCTGATCCCCATCCCCCCCCCCCCCCCGATAATTGATAATATTGTATATTAAGAGTTTTAATTATGAAAGATGGCTTTTAATTTTTAATAATAATAAGTTTCCTGAAGGGCAAACACTGTACAGAGAAGAGAAGCACCTGAGCAAGGAACATGCAGAGTCGGTCACTGATGAATGATGCAGCAGCTAACTCCTCAGCGATCGATTCAACAATTGACTTTTTCTGAGGCGGCAGAAAGGAAAGAGCTTGCGTGGTTTTCCTCTCACATTACGGTTGGAACTTTTCCAGTGAGTTCACAAGAAGAAGAATAAAGATGGGCCTAAGTTGTATCTGCTTGTTAAAAATTGAAGTGAACTATTTTACCAAATGGATGGTTCTTCTCAAATTTATTCCGACAAATAAGAAAATTTAATCCTCCTTTCATTGCTCATACCCATTATCCCATGATCCTTTCAAAGCTTACATCTATCTAATTCATCGATTTAACCAAGTGATATCCACCAGAAATGCTCTACGGAGATATAAGAACAAACATAACATAAACCATAATGTTTATTTATTGTGTCATCCACATCAACACCAAGGCAGTAGGGTTTACATTCAGCATCTCACACAACTATATCAGTAACTAGAAACATATACTCAAACACATCCCTCTGCCTGTGTGTGTGTGTGTGTTTTTTTTTTTTTCAATAATACAACCGAAGCCAGACTTAAATCCAGTACATTCCAAAGAAACAAAAGTAAGACAAACCCAAGCCAGTTCAGTTACGCAGACCTGCACCGGCGAGAGGAAAAAGAAACCAAATGTTAGTATATCTTTTTGAAATCCCCCCCCCCCAAAAAAGGAGAGGGTAAAGCAGATAATTACGGGCCAAATTTAGAATTCTCAGATCCCCAAATTCTAAGATGGGGAAATAGAAGCAAGCAGTTAATGAACAGAAATAGGCGACCTGCCTTAACATCGAAAAATCTAGATCTAACAAGCAACCAGAGAACAGAGTGATCGGACTACCTTAACAAAGACGGTGTAGTAGGAATAGAAGAAGGCGATCTAATCGCTGTCGCTGCTGCTGCTGTCATGGTCGTGGCCATGTTCGTGCTTCTTCTTGTCCTTCTTCTTCTTCTTCTCCCCCTTTTCATGGTCATGATCGCCATGGATCTTGTCCTTGATCTTGTCCACAAGGCCCTCCTTGTGTTCTCCGCCATGGTGCTCGCCCTCCCCCTTGTGGTCGCCGTGCCCGTGGTGGTGATCGCCCTCACCCTTGTGTTCGCCGTGCCCGTGGTGGTGATCGCCCTCACCCTTGTGTTCGCCTTGGTGTTCGCCCTTGTGCTCGTCCTTCTTGTGACCTCCAAAGGTCTCCTCAATCTTGTGGATGATTCCGGACATTGTTTCTCCTTCTCCTTCTTTTCAGGTACGGATGTAAGTGAATCGCTAGGAATCGACTGTACTTATAGGCAGAGGAGGGAAGGACGAGAGGGGAAGGACGAGGAGGAAAATGGAATTACGAAAGTAACCCTCAAGACGTGTGAAGGAAGGGTGTACGCGGCATCATGTAAAGGAAAATCACAATTACAAATATGGGAAGGATATCTATTACAAGCAAGAGCTATGGTGATGGGGTCCAGATTGCAACAGCTCATAAGATTTGATTGGGTTGTGAGATAAGAAACTTTTTTTTCCTCAGATGTTAACCTAAAATAAAAGATATTTTTTTAACTTTATAAATTATTTTTTAATTTTATTTATAAATTATTTTTAACATATTTTGCAGATATTAAATTTTTTTATATTTTATTAACTTTGTATAGAAAAATTAATAAATTAATAAATTTATTTTTATTAAATATATATATATAATTTAAGATTATATGCTCTCTCTTCAATATTTAATAAAGGATAAAAATAAAAATTTATTATAAAAATTTGATGATATAATTAATAAATGAGATTAAAAAAACTTTCTCTCTTCATAACAAGAAATATGGTGTATTAATTTACGTCAAATAGAGGATGAGACTTGCATTTTTTACAATTTTAGTTACCCTTGGTGTTATAACATTTGTTATTGTAAATATATTAAAAAATAATAAATATGTAAAAACTTTAATAAATTTGTCTCTTATTTAATGTCTCTAAAAATATTATAAGAATATTTCTTATTTACTTACCCACGCCATCAGGTGCAAAGGGTCAAAATCTTGGTGGAAGATAAAATGCCATGTTTGGTATGTAATATTAGTGGGCAAGGATTGAGATTAGATTAGAGAAATATTACTTTTACTCTACCCACGCCATCAGGTGCAAAGGGTCAAAATCTTGGTGGAAGATAAAATGCCATGTTTGGTATGTAATATTAGTGGGCAAGGACTGAGATTAGATTAGAGTAATATTACTTTTAACATATTTGGCATGAAGCATTTACTAGTACTTATAATTACTCAATCTCAATTAGGTGGGAATGCTGAAACTCACCGCTCCTATAGTATTGCAAAATTAATTTTGAGATTAAAATTTTCATGACCAAAATGTCCTCCTAAAAATATATTGAATTTGACTCTATTTCCTTCTTCATTGAATTTGACTCTATTTCCTTCTTCTTCACCTCATCGCATGTTTACCATGCTGATTTTGACAACAATTTCCTCCCATTTCAAAGACAACTTTGAAGAAAGCAACATTGAACAAGCAATGAATGATGTAGACCTGCGATAACAGTTAACCTTGACACGAGCAAGAAGAAAGGTAGAGACAGTGAGATTGACATAGAAATCGGCTTTTCTTATTTTAGATTTAGTGACTAGTAAAATAGATTCAAATTTCAGTTGAAAAATTAAAGTCAAAGGATGAGAGGCATTAAAATCATGGATGGATTATTCCAAAGGCATTACAACAATGGATTGTTCACCATGGATCTCATTTGCTTTTCTTGTTCCAAATATTATTCTAGAGGCATTAAAATAATCACACAAGTTATTTCATTTCATGTGGGGAGGCATTAAAATCATACAGCTCATGCTTGCATGAGAAAAAATAGTGTTGAAAGAGGGAAATTGAAGGAGGAAGAAGAAGCGAATGAGATATGTAAAGCTCAAAGGGACAGGCAAGGGAGAATGGAGGGAGGAAAGGAAGAAGATAAGGATAATTGTGTCTTTTAATTTAACTTTTTGGTTTGATTTGAATTTTATTTAATCCCATCATATATCAAACATGATTTTAAAGCTTATTCCAACTCATGCTCGATCAATAAAATCAACATATACTTTAATTATGCAAAAACACTCTCGCTGATCCAACATAATTTCTTTGATAATCATCCTCTCTCTGATATTATCAACAAAGTTAGGAAATTAATTATGAAAGATTGAATCATTACCTTCGAACACACGTTTAGGGAAGCAAATAGATATGCGGACATTCTTGCTCACCAAGCCTCTCAAAAAAATCTTGATCTTATTATTCATAATCATTCGCCTTCAAGATACAAATCCCTTATGGATTTTGATATGGCCTGATTTTGTTCAACTTTTATACATGTTTTTTGTGTTATTGTATTAAAAAAAAACTCACTCCAACTTTCAATCCCACTTTCATTGTCCATCCCTTAAAATTCAATTCCCTGTACCAAAAAGTGCCTAAGGCTCCGTTTGGTTCGGGGGGAGGGGAGGGGAGGGGCTCCTCTTCCCTCCCCTCATTTGGTTAGGAGGAGGGGAGGGGAAATTTTTAAAATTTTCCCTCCCCTCCCCTCCAAAGCCTTCCCTCCAAATTGGGGGGAGCTCCCCTCCCCTCCCTTCCCCCTCCTCCCCCTCCCCTTCCCTTCCCTCCTCTCCCCTCACCTCCCCTCCCCTCCCCTCCCCTTCCCTCCCCTCGAACCAAACAGACCCTAAGGGTTTTGCTGTCATTTAGAGATATATGGGTAGTTTCGTCTTTTAATCTAGTCATTACAGGAATGATGATGGCTCATCTCATCCCATCGGCATTTGGGATCGTGTTTGAGGCAGGAATGCTCGCTCCTAAGTCCTGATGCTGCTGAGATGAAAAGTTCGAATGAAATGCCCAAATTTTACATTCAACCAAACACTTGCTACGGAATCTCAACCCATTTCAACCCCACTTCCCTACCTGCACTGTCTCGGATCCTGTTCCCGTCTCAAGAAGATTGTATTATACTATTAATAAAAGAAAGAAAAATCTTCGTGGCTCGTGTGAGCGACGCGTGGACGGAGATAAACTTGCCGACATGTGATACCAAGAAGCACCGCACCTTCCCTTTCGCCTTGGTTTCTTTTGTTTTCTCTTTTTTGACCTTGTTCCTTGCCTGATGAGTGATGAGCGCATGGCGAGACTAATAAAATAAAATAAATAAATATTTTAAAATAAAGGACCAAAAATAAGTGGTGGGCCACAAGTATTTATCAGTTTAAAGTGAGAAATAAAAGATAAAAAATCCATAATTAATTCAAATGAATGCAAAAATAATCAACTATTAACTTGCTCAAATTTTATGTGGAATTCTGCGAAGGAATCTGCCTTTCTTCTCATTGGTCCCACTTCTATTATACTCACTACCACATTTAGTCCTTTAAGTTTGTATAAAATTTCATTTTAATTTCTTAATTGTATAAATAAAGGCATAGTAGAAGTAGGACTAAGGAGATGATGAAAAAAGGCAAATTGCCCTCCTATGACGTCTTAACCATCAAAACCAAAGCCTCAAGTGAAGACTGATTATCATACGATGGCCGATTTGCCTTTAAAGAATTTCACCTAAGAAATTTTTTTTTTGTTCACATTAGTAAAAAAAAAATAGTCAACTTTTATTTAAGTATCAACTAAATAGTTAATATTTAAGAAATTTGATGGGTGGATCATTGTTGCATCTATTAAAGTAATATTATAGGTAATTCTACTCTTTTTGTTTGACTTTGAACTAATGAGTATTTCTAGTTGATGACTTTATTAATATTTTTTCCTTCTTTTTTAGCTCACATCAACAAATCAGAGAAATCACAATTGACACGAGCCAATTACACTCAACATTTAACAATAGCAATTAAGGGAGTTTGAGCAAATTAATGGTTTAGTCATTCTTGCACAAACTTAAATAATATTATGATTATTTTTGCTCTTTTTTTTTCCTTTAAGTTATTAGATGCTCTTGGTCATTCACTTGATGAGTATTTTTTTCCCTTTGTCCAATATTTTATGAATGAAAAAAAATAATATCTATGTTTAGAAATTAAGAACATGAATTGTATTATAGCCAATTGCGCTCCCCAAATGCCAAAGTTTCGTGCTCTTCCAGTTTAACACATTTTTCCAGCAAGTTCCTGCGTTACCTCTCAACACACATTCTCGATCATTTGCTCCCACTTAGAATGATTGTCTAAATTTGATGTTCGTTAACTCATCGTCCTGCATTGTACAAGATGATATCAAATACCAAGTGATCTTTTGTCCGATCATGACATGTCAACTTTTACCTTCATCACAAAATAAAATTTCATGCACAATCCGAGCAAGAATGCGAAAGGGAATCGACACTCATCAAGATGACGTGAGTTTCAACTCCAAATCAAACTATATGTATAACTTACATTCGGTCCCGACAAGAAAAAAGAAAAACGACATTTATTACATTTTATGCAAATATCAATAAGCTTTGACAACAGGTACAAATCTTACATGATTTCCCAAAAGAAAATTACCAGTACAATCAAGCACCAACATGCCATACGCTAGTATAGATTATAACGGTAGTTAACAATCAATATCAATAGCCATTCTTTATTGACATAGGAGTACAGCGTTTTGCGTTGGAAGATAAAGGGAGGATAAAGACAAGATGGTTCGGGCATAAAATGTAACAATGACATGGTAAATCCTTGGCTCAACTTCCAAACTTTACTCAGCTTCAGGCCAAGTGTTATCTGATTGCTCCGAGCAAATTGGCACCATCAAGCTTTGCACCTTCCAATTGCTGGCAAAAACGTTATAAAAATGAATACTTATATGTTAGGTTATGATGCTTGGAACGGCGAAATCATTCTCAGTCTTTTCTACTCTCAGTCTTTTTATCCTTCTGTTGGCATATATACACCAGTATTTTAAATGGCACCAAAAAAAAAAAAAAAAAAGAAAAGAATCAGAAACAGACAACCAGAATATCAACAATTTGAAGAAGAAAACTTCAAATATATTCCAACATATTAACCTCCATCTGAATAGTAACTTTTGGGCTCATTTCTCCATTCTGCAGCAATGATCTAAATGACTAATTACTTTTTTCTTTGATAATCCGAATTTCATGTTGTTTAGGATCCCTACTTGAAGTATAAATTATGAACCAATCTTTCATGCTGCAATTTACAACAGTTTATTGCATTTGACGATACAGGATTCTCGTGTTTGCACTAATTACAAACTAACAATAAGTGGAGCATGCTGCAGCAGAACACGATTTCATTGAC